CGGAATACCGAAATAGCCCACCGGCCGATGGCACGCTCTCGTATTCACGAACATGGCTACCAAGTTGCCGGTGCCGCAGGCCGAAACGAGCTCACGTGTCAGGCCCATGGGGGCGGTGCTCGACTTCAACTAAGACACTGAGCGGTCGATGGCCGGAGGCGAAGTTCAGGGCGGTGGGGGTGGAGGAGGTGGGATGGACGGGGCGGGGAACGGTGGGAGAGAGGTCGATGTCCGCAGGGATGAACTGCAGCTGGAGCAGGTGGTTAGAGCGGCTCTGCGTCTATCGGCGGACAGAATATGAATTATGTATATTACTTTACTCGATCCAGACATACTTGCCCATGAGAAATGCAACAGATGTTTGGAAATGATTTGCTCATGAATGTCATATAAATTGCAAAGATAATGTAACCACTAGGTAACAGCTGACAACCGTTCTAAGGATTATCACAACAATCTCGAAAGGTCAATGCTAGAGCAATACTTTCCCATATTCCGAGCATGAACTCCAACATTGGGACTTTGACCCACAAAAAGAACAGGTGTAATCAATTGCTTTGGGGGAGGGAGGCAACCACCAGGGTTTAATCGGCAGTGCCCGGCACGTGTATTCTTTGCCGGATTTGGCTCAAATCCTTGGAAAATCGGAGCTCTGACTGTTAGCTCTTCTTCAATAGAAAACTGCATCCTGGGATGTAATATCCAAAGCTTACATGTCTGAAACCGCAGGTTACCGTTTAATTCTACAGCATGCAAAGTATATAGACTTACATTACGATGGAGTTATGAAAAACGCAGCTAAGCTGAAAACGAAAAACGGCAACAATGTCATGCATGAAAAACTGCAGTCTTTGACAAGTCCATATACCTACTCGTTCGCTAATCTGAACAAGTGTGTTGTAATAATTCCCAAGTAAACTACATAATTCCTTTTACATTTAGCATAATTTAATATCTTCAGAGCATTATCGTTGATTATGTGGACTGACATCATCGTGCGACTTGCAAATTACACGAAATGTGGCAGGAAACCGCAATGTCTCAGATCCGGCCAGGAGCTGGCCTGGCTGCCTTCTCTCGGTCCTGCTGACGTGTTCGTGCAGTGACGCTATCCCAAGCATCCTACACGAAGCCAATCGTCGCTCAAATGATTTCGCTCAGGCAGAAAACTGAGCCGAAACCTATTGATCCCTGAGATCAAGTTCACTCCTTCTAAGCACAATGCAACGTGATGACTTTTTTCGAGCCGGTAAGCGAGCGTAGTCCCTTTTACGCAACAGCCGATGAGATCGAATCATACCAACGAAAGTAATAATGAAGCGGACGGAGCATCAAATTCCACTCGGCACACCAAACGAAATACAGTGCCCTATCACCGTATGGCCAGAGTCGAGAAATGACCCATGTCGGACCAAAAAGCGGCCGGTCGTTTTGACAGTCACTCGTCCGGTAAGGGAACACATGACAGCCAGCGACAGGCAGGGGGGGGGGGGGGGGTACCGGACCGATGTCACCGTCACTGGGGGTGGGGGTGGGCGGGGGATGGGGGATGGGGGAGGAGTGGTCGGGGTCAGCAGGCCCGGTTGTTTGTCGCACGGAGCGCTGTGGCGGGCGGCGCCAGGCCTTGACCCAATCCTTTCCAGGGATGTGTCACTGTAGTGGCGGCACCGGGTGTGTGTGTGTGTGTGTGTGTCGCGGCTGTCTCGCCGCTCTGTGTGCTCAAAATACGGGCGACCGGCAGCGGACGGCGGCCCGGCCGGCCCGGGTGCTCTGTATCCAACCAAGGTCGGCGAGAAAGGATGCGGCCCGCCGGCGACCCGGTCCAGCGCCCGGCGGGGTCGGTACGGGCTCGGCGTCATCCCACCAAGCCCAGTCACGACCCCCGTGAACACTCGTGTGTGAATATCGGCTGATCGGCATAGATGTAGCAGTCAGACCATGGACACGATATCGGCCGGCCGACCGGGGGAGTGCAGTGAACGGCCGAGTGTCCATCATTGGACGATAGCGCTGCGGTTGGATGCTGGCCGTGCAGGTGGTGTCAGGGTCGGTCGTGTCACCAGTGTCACCAGTGACACACAATGAACCCGGAGGCCAGTCTGACAGCTGTTATACCTACTGACAGTTCAGTGAGGACACTCAGCGGCTATGTAACGTCGCCAACTCCGCCACACCGACTCCGAACACGTAACAGCAACACCTAACCACCTTCATAGTCGATGTAAATCTGATCGCTCAAGATCGCTGCAAAAAAATTTGACCGGCATGTGAGCGTATTATCCGCTGTCATGCCAGTCGCTGTAGCAGTTTCTTTATGTTTGGCGGTGGCAAAGCGTGCAAAGGCAGTCTTTCACGACAGCTATGCTCGCCGTTGGAGTTGGTTTTGTCACGAACGGAACGCCACTACAAGTAATCGGCGCTAACCAGCCGCAATCGACTGCCACTTGTAGCCCTTTCACGCTAAACGAGCGAGCATTATGCGACTCCGGCGTCGCGGTTCAAAAGTGGCCTCATCAGGCACCCAGAACAACGTCGCTGTGTAAGGCACGACTAACAAGAAAAATTACTGTGTAGACCCTTAAATGAAGAGGATTCATTACAATTTTGCACACTCATGCTGAGCCAACTATGGTGAATTATTTATTAGGTCTGGGATTGCAGGCAAGGCCCGTCATGTGTAGATATGCGGATATTACACGCCTGTTTTTAAATTAGTTTCTGAAACGTGCCGAAGTTTTGTACAGCTACCGACTGAGCCACGAAGTTGCCGGGCGGCTCGCTGTCGCCAAGTGCTTGAAGAGCTCTTCAACCAAGAAACTCGCGCAACAAAGTTTTATTCAGAACCCGGAACAGCAAAAAGCTTACATGAAGGCTCGTCAAGGTAAGCCGCCGCAGTGTAATTTAATTACGAACCAGATCCAAGAAGATGGTACAAAGAGCTCGCGAATGATGCTTCATGCCAGGAAAGTGTATGTCCAGCATCTCATTAGTCCGCTAGATATTAAAAAGCGGTGAGCCCGAGTTGCAGTTTGAAGGACACCGTCGTGCCTATCTGAAAAGCTCAACGCGATCATCAGACACAAACAAGGTTCGGCTCGCCCAGTCCGTGTGGAGTGACAAGAGGATCAGACATTTTGGGGTTCTGCCCGCCCCAGCGACCCATCCTCAAGCCTTTCCTCGTATCACAGATAATGCGAGACATTTTATCGCGTTCCATGAAGTGTCTATCAGCTTTCTCTTTCCGGAAAACGAAATTGCAGGCGGCGTCCATCTTAGCGACGCCACTAGACATGTAAGGTCCGGCCAGTGTCACGATCAGATTTTTCGCGTCTTGTTGCTGTCACAAGCCCTCAGCATAACCTTGCAGGCGACAACCTTGAAGCCGCCGATTCTCAGAAAATATAAGCAGTGTGATATTAGGAAGAAGGATGTCAAACGATAAACATCAGGCAGAAACGCATTATATTTTCCAAGCCAGGTCTTTGCACCTCGAACAAGGCTGGGCTCTGCATTTATCTAGATCCCAGCAGCAGATAATATTCTCACGTCCGGATACTATCCAGGGGAAATATTATATAATTAACCAACTGAACTGGCCCCCATGTGACTAACGCGCTAATTACCGTATCCCGTAATGACGTCTTTTGCCAGCTTGCTATTGCTGTTCTACTATGTATAACAAAGACGTGTACGTCAACATCAGGCAAAAAGTATCCGCGCTGCCGTGTCTGTATTGTTTTTTAGATAAAGTAAGTAATCCCGATTTTCATGGAAGTGCCGGGCGCGGAAACGACACCATATATGGAGCCAGATAGTGTGCACGTCACCGGCTGAATATATGCAAGGCAAACCGCTAAAAATCGCCGGATTTCGGGCCTGAGCCGGCGCCTTAGCCGGATCTGCATTCTGCATCCGCCAGCGCCGCACCCATTCGGTGAAATACGCGACGCGTGAATGAGCATCACGTCTTTCGTCTCATGGCCCGGCCGAGCGATCCCCAATCCTCGGCTGGGTGGCCGCGCCCGCCTGCAGCCGGCCGGCCCGGGACGGACTCACGGCAACACGGGCCGCCGCGAGCAGCCCAACAACCTCCGTCCGTCCGTCCGTCCGTCCGTCCGTCCGGCCTGCCGAGCGCATTCCGGGGCGGCTGGCCTTCAGGGCGCTTTCACGCGACGCCGGCTCGCGTGAGCCGGCCGTGCGAAGATGGCGCCGAACCCGACGGGCCCCGGCCGCCGACGCCGGCCAGCCGCTTCCCGGAACCAGTCAGCAGGCGCCTAATGAGCCTGCCACGGCAGGAACCGGCTCCATGACCCCGCGCCGCCCCGACCAGTCAACAATGCACTGCACACCGGCCGCCCTGCCATCGTACCGCCAGCGGAACGACACCTGCCACCTAGCGGTCGGTTGGCAAAGTTATGTTTCAGCAGCTGGCCACTGGACAGGTTGTTATCGTTGGGCGTTGGCAACAAGACGTATGATGTCAGTAATAACCTTGCCTGTCCACAAACACCGGCGTGGATGAATTAGATAAAGAGGATTTCATGAAGATCACTGCTCAAAAGAAGCCAACACAGCAACAGACTAAAATAAACACCGTAAAAGGTGCGGCAAGCGCTGATATATGAGCCGATTTAACTTCGTATTTTGTAGCGTGCATGCAAATCCAACCATGAATAGATCTTATTTTCGGTGACCATGGGTGCAGATTTTTATGCGATTCGGGGACCTGGTCCCCTAACCTTGAGTTCTGTCCCCTCACTGTTGGTTTTAGGTCCCAAATTTATGGTAAGCAGGCTACTTCGAGGAAAACCGTGCCTATTTTCGCGATTTTTGGTTAATGCCAATCTAGCTTTACATGACACGAAAAAGTTATCTATTTTCCCTCACCCTTCACTCCTTTTGAGACGTAAAAAGTCAGCATTTTCTGGGGCAACTTGTCACCCTGCCCTCCCTCCCCTGCCATCCGTGTCGCGCCCAGCCCGCGGTGCGGCGGGACTGACCTGTATCCAGCATTCCGTCCTGCTCCACCCTCTCCTGTTTGATGGGCGGCATCTGTCCCAGGCCGCCCACCACCCGTGTGGTGGTCAGGGTAGGGTACTGGGTGTCGTACTGCGCCGACTGGAGTCCCGACGGACAGGGACTGGCCGGGCTGCGCGGACCCGGAGACTCGAGAAGACCTGTGGGGGGGGGGGGGAGGACGGTCAGAGGTGTGAGGAGAGACCGTAAAACACTGAGGAGGTCCGGCCAGAGAGTTGAGGGCTGACGGGGCTGCAGAAGGGTTGACAAAGAACTGATGGAGTTCGGTAAAAGGGACGAGGTCTGAACTAGGCTGCAGAACGCTGAGAGTGAGGACTGAAGGGAATGAGGAGGGGCTGACAGATGGGAAGACTTGTCTGGATAGAGACAGTCAAAGGGCTGATGGCTGAAGGAGGCTGCGGGAGGGGTGGATATCTGGACAAGGCCCAGGTCCGAGGAATAAATTACTGAAGGCTGAAGACTGAGGGGAGCCGACGAACTGCGATGAACGAGTTCTGGCGGAGGAGAGACGGAGTTTTGAAGGCAGAAGTGAGCTGCGGAGAGGGCTGACAGTTTCGGAGAGCACGGAGACTAACGGATGACCGAGGAAGCGCGCTGTGGAATGGGTTGAGAGATGGGGAGGGCTGGAAAGGTTGACTTAAGGCTGGGAGTGGGGAAGGACTGAGGAAGGCTGAGAGCTAATGGAGGGTCGACCGGGAACTGTGAGTACGAGAGGGCTGAGGCCTTAAAGAGGTTTGACGGAGAAGAAATCGCGTCAGAGCTTTACGGAGGTCGAATAAGCAGGAGGGGTGAAAAGGTGTGGGCGTTTCGATCAATTGCATAGCTAGAAAGACACTAGCTTCAGAAGCATAGCCTACATCATTGAATCAGTTTAACCCTCTAATGCCCACACATAGTTCCACGGTTCCTAAAATTAGCACCTTGTGACATATGATTCATTTTGGGTCCCTTGTTCGAAATGTGAAGTCAAATATTTTTTCGCAGTTCAAATTTCGGAAATAAATTTTGTATCAAATGTGATACATTGGGCATTCCACTTAGTAATTTTTAGTGGTATCAGACCACACAGAAGGAAGTGAAGATATAGATGAGAAAATATATATTATTAAAAATTTCAGTGATAAAAGTGGCAGTTAAAATGTGTAAAATGCCAACAAGACATCCTTTACTGTGCACTTTTTATCAGAACATTTTCTTAATATTTCATTGGCATCCTTCTTGTATCAAAATGTCCTTTCAGTCGGTGCTTAGGGAACAACGCTAATCATAGGCATCCATTTACGATTGCCTTCTATTCCTTCAATTTCCACGATAAAGCGCGTTGCACTTGTGCAATTTTTTCATAATTCAGACATGTGGGCCGTGCTTCTCAAACGTAGATGCGTTATGCATACTTGATATAGAAATGAAGACATTACAGTTGGCTCGCGGTAAGTGGTTGAAGTGAAGCAGTTCTGATGCAAAATGCTGGACAGCCTGCCGACGGACCGGAATCAATGCCAAAGACGATGTTGGCTTATCTTCATGATAGCCGGACAATCTCGGGTGACTGAAACTCTCAGCCTGTGAATCGTCAGTTAGTACTTTGACTGGTCGTGCGGTCCTGATGTCATCGGCGTCATGGTATAACAGCCGTGCACTGACCAGTGCAATAACCGTTGTACGTGTCAGACAACACAGGTACAGGTAACTGTGCACCGATCGGCAGGAACTTGCACAATATTCATTGACCTTATATGGAGGTGAGCATACGCATTACGCAATACCGCACTTAAACTTTTATTCTCATGGTCAGTACAAAAGTAGTATCCATGTTTTAGTACCTATAAATCCTTTTTGTTCAGTGGCACTCAGCTACCACAGTTGGCGGTATATGTCAATATATGACAACAAATGACATACCTGGCAGTGAAAATGCTTGCCAGGTGTCAGGCACCTGCTGGAACCTGGCAACAGTGCATGGTTGCCTACTTCTTAGATAGGAAATCAAAGGAACCACGCCCTTCGGTCCGGAGTCTGTCTTCATGGCGAGCCCGTTTAGCCAGCTTCCTCTGAAGATGACGATATAGTTTTCCACTCCACATTCAATCTCTTAATACTGGGATGAACGGAGGAGATTTGAATCGCAAACAAATTGTGAGTCGTTCTCCAATATGAATGAAAAATGCTGGCTGGCTGCTAATGCAAGTCTTCAGCCATGCCCAGCTAACACATAGACCCACAAGACATAAATAAGCCCGTCCACAACCCCTGTTGGAATATCGAAATTGTGCAAGAGACCGCTGAATCCTCCTGTCCCTAACATCAAGTCTCAATTTTTGGTTTCACGAGTATAAATGCTCGCACGGATGATCGTTCCTTGAAATCAACAAGCTTGTCATCGATAGCATGTCATTCCTAACGTGGTTTTAGAAGGTATGGTCTGCTAGTGTCCTGCAGATCAAAAAGTTCACTATTGTCATCGTCAAACAGTTGCAAAACCATATTCCTATGAGCGTTAGAAAAGTCGAGATGTATGAGGCATGTAAGGCCACTCATAGAAAGCTAGATGTTGGAAGATTGACAAGGATGAGAGGCGGCATAAGCGTACCAATATCGTTATGACATTTTAAGTCTGGAGCGAAATAGAGTTATCTGGCGCAAGAGGTGCGAACTTCACAAATTTATGCATCTTGTACCATCGTCATTCGCAATGACTCACAGGCCATTGCAATGCTTATCACCTGAGACAACTATGGTATTGGCACACCGTATGTTGCAGCGGCGAAAATTTCATAGAAAATATTGGAGTGCTATGCCCACTGTATCAAATCTAGTATCCCCAAAAATAGGGGTCCATATCTTTGACCCTGAAAAAGTTGCGATGTTTTGCAACATACTATGATATATGTTGAACATTTGTCTCACAGTATACCAAGTTTCTTTCCAAATAACTAATTTTTTGTTTTCTAAATGCTTAAATTTACACTTGCATCTCAAATTGATTTTCGGCAAAGGACAAACTGACCCTCTTCAAAATCACCTGGTGGGAAACTGAGAAGTCATTAATTTTGCCACCAGGTGGTTGCCAAGACGTACCACTTCTGATACAGCAGGGCTTTCAACAATTTTCACCTCTATGATTAGCAGGCGAATTTTCTGCAAATTGACTTACAGATATGATACCGGGGGCACTAGAGGGTTAAACAAGTTTCTCGGCAACAAGCAGACGTGCAGATGTTTATCATCCAAAAGGGGTAATCATGAGCTTCATTCTTTGGCTTAACACTCATGTAAGAAACGAATATCATACTGTTGTTTCATTAACAAAGCGAGTCGTGATAACACTATCACCTGACCAAGAGGATCACAGGCTCACGTCCTTACGTTAGCAGGAGTTCTTCTTTTTTTACCGGCAAGCAAACAACCCTAAGCGTGCAACGAGGATCTGCTTACCGCTTTAAAAAATAGCCGGAACAGTACTAAGCTGGTAGGACACACACGACCCGTCAAGCTGAATGAGCTAAGGTGCGTCACGGGCGCCTCTAACATCCCAGAGTCTGATCTCCATCTCACGCGGGATTTGAGACGCTCAGGCCGCTATGGACAGGATGCAGAAGGATGAGCTTGGACGCCATCTATGTTACCTATGAGATCACATAGTCCCAGCGTCACAGAAAGGTGCTTGCTCATTGCTCTGGAGGGACGTTTGAGCGACTCCTGCTGCCACCTAGATGAGCGAGTCAGCGCCAGTGCCGCCACCTGCGGTACTTCTTCGTTGGCTTTACGTGCTCCACAGTTCTGGTGCTGCCGCCTACAGTCGACACGAGACATTGCCGTCCCATCACCGTTCCGTGCTTCTATCCTCAGGATATAGAAATCCTTCTCCTCCACGCCGCAACCCCCCTCCGGGCTGGACAGGCAACTTTATCTCATGCGGGCTGCTCCCTTGGAGCGGCACCGCTGCTCCCGAGGGAGCGCACCCCGTAGCCGGGTGCAGTGAGTGCCTTGGGGCTGGGTGGCCTGTCCTCTGGACGGGCTCAGCCCCGGCGACTCACTAGGGTGCCTGCCCAGATCAATGTCTCCCCCTTTATCCTATCATCCTCCCGGCTCTGAAATGGTCTTGCCAGACCGAAAGGGCCTAACCCAACAAAACAAAACAAAACAAAAAAAAAACGTCCCAGATCATACAGGCACATACGGCTAACAGAAATCCCGATGAACATAGGGATTACTGACAGGTTTCAGTTCATACGAGTTTCATAAGGGCAGTGATCAATACAAGATGACAGTATAATTTTGTAAATAATCCTAAGAGCTATGAAGCGGCCATAAACGTGCTCGTCTAGGACTACCAATGGTGAAATGTGGTCTTACACGAGATATTTTCTCTCAACCACCCTTTTCATCTTCATATTATATCCTTCTTAATCACCAGGACCTAACCATCAGCCTTTCCAATTCCATACTGATATACAGCCCTGAAATATCTTAATAGACGGAAAGGGGTCATAATCCACCACGGCAAACATTTTCCTCGGAACCAATTCATCCCCATCCCCCGTCTCCTCTCCAACGCAAAGCTCTAAATTAATGTCATCAGTTTATTTCCACCACATCCCAGGATGATTAATTGGCAATCAAATACGTAGTAAATTTATTGCTGCAGATTCCCACAAAACATTGCTAACGACTGAAAGTGAATATTACAGGAAGATACAGAGGACACTTGCCAAGAGAGGTGCCTTCTGACTTAAGATGTAACAGAGTGCCTTATGGTAACTCCTTGTGCCCTGTGACTCTTTGTGCCTTCTGGTCAGGAAAAGGACACCTCCCTTATTCAGTGGCAGGGAGAAAGAGCTTATGGCCGGTAGATGGTTGCTATCTGCTCTTACTGGTCAGGAGAGGGGCTCTTTTCGTAGTCACTGGTCAGTAGAGGGTTGTTACGCACACTGAGACTTATTGTCCAGGAGAGGGTACTTACTTGCCAAGAGAAGGTAGTTTAACGTAAGTACTTACTGGCTAGGAGAGGAATCCCACATTTAGTTCCTGGCAGAATAGGGATTCTACGAGTACTTGCTGCCTACTGGTCAGGACAGGGACGCTACGAGTGCGTACTGGCCAGGAGGGTTGTTGTGCATAGTTACTGCCATTACTGGCCAGGGGAGGGATGCTGGGTATTCTCATTGACCAGGTGGAGGGTATTTGTGATTACACTGGCCAGCAGAAGGCTGCTTTGTAATTAGGCCAGGAAAGGGTTGGTGTGTGTACATACTTACTGGCGAGGATAAGACCACTGCGTGTTCTTATTGGCAAGTAGAAGACTGTTTTGAGTGCTTACTGACCAGAAGGATGTTATGCATTCTTACTGGCCAGAAGAGGGTTCTGTGATTACTTATTGACCGCGGGAGGGTTGCTATGTACTTATTGGCCAGTAGAAGGCTCCTTTGAGTACTTACTGGCAAGTAAACGATTACTAACGATGCCCTTTTGTTGGCTAAAGAGGGATACTTACTGGCCAGGAGCGGGTTCGTTATGTGTTCGTTCTGGCCAGGATATGGTTGTTGTGACTACTCACTGGCCAGGAGGGGGTTGTTGTGCGTACTTATGACCAGGAGAGGGTTGCTATGCATACTTACTGGGCAGGAGGGGGTTTGTGTTCGGGTTTGTGTGTTATGCGTTCGTTCTGACCAGGATATGGTTGTTGTGACTACTCACTGGCCAGGAGGGGGTTGCTGTGCGTACTTATGACCAGGAGAAGGTTGCTATGCATACTTACTGGGCAGGAGGGGGTTGGTTATGTGTTCGTTCTGACCAGGAGAGGGTTTTTGTGGTTACTTACTGGCCAGGAGGGGGTTGCTGTTGGCGATCGAGCGTCTCGGAGGTCCCGCAGTCCGATCCGGTGTTCGTGTCGCCCGCCCTTGGTCCTGTAGACACACACGAGAGAGATCAATGTGATCAACGGACATCACCTTGATATTACATGAAAATGTTCGTTGGGCGATATTCATTTAAATTTAGACCATGAGACACTGATAGAGGTGTACGAGCTAAAAAAACGGAATTTTATTTTCGTTAACTTGGCATACTTGTAGATAGTTGACAAACTTGTTTCGAAATCCTCATTTCTTAATGTGGTCTACACACGGTTAGAAAGAGTTCTAGCCTTCCCTCACCGCACAAATCTTGTCTATTCTTTATACCGCACGAGCGTAAGATTAGGATCGCAAATTTAGTTAAATGACAAATTTAGTGTGGCATCGGTCATTGTGGGGTCCGAATTTATCATGCTTAAAGCTGATGTCTGTTATTGGTGCCGGGTCGTAAAAACATTTTAGCCCCACTAAGAGAACGGCGACAATCATCTCAATGTCATAGCTGCTCTTTGGTTTACAATTTGGCTAGAAACAAGCAACAGACACATTAAAATCAACAGTTTTTGTGAGCTACGGACCCTAGCAGAATATTGCAACAAATCATAACAAATAGTTACCGCTAGAAGATGCTTGCAGCGAGCCATACCAAAACATCGTATGTCATGATGAATAAAATAGTAAGAATCGTTACTGAAATAACTCACTGACTTTTCCCGAACGTCACTTATAAAATCTTAAAGAATAGCCGAGAGACCATCCCTGCAAATCTAGCAGTTTTTACCAAGCTCCTACTCCGCGGTGGTAACCCAATCGACTGGGAATAGGTCGTGCGGTACAGTATGCGTTCAGGCGTTTACTACTAGCGCCATCTATTGGCAATTAAATAACTATAGTTTCGATAGACAGCCGCGTAAAGGACGAAGACTCGCGATAACTGCTCGAAAGTAAGATTGCCTCGTCACTTTCTCTACGCCAAATGGAGTTTTGAAGCAATTTTGAGCTATGTTGATGATTCTGGGAACCCTTTTATTAAATGATTGAGCAAGACGTGTGGAAATTAAGTCGCTGTTCTAGGACTCACGGTATTTGTCTCAAGATGAAGAAAGTTGTTTAATTGTCTTTGTTAGCAGACATTGCTGAAGGGAGTAGAAGCCTCCCTCCATTCGCGCTGTTCTCACAAATCACATCAGAAAAGTGTCGAAATGAATATGAATGTAAAAACTGCTACTTGATTGAGAGGGCCGACAGTAGCATCTGAATATCTAGGGGTCCAATTTCCAAATGCAGAGTGTTCCTCTGAAGTCCCAGTTCATCGGAAGACAGGTAATGCGACACTGTCATAGACATACTCATCAAACGTTCATTGTTGACTGTTGAGCGTCTGGAAAGTGTTCCCCACGAATCAAATTTGATCTAGCCTACGATTGCCGAGCATCGTGGGAGCAAGCATCTGTCGGGATCATCAGAGTGACTGATCCAGTAACTACTGTGAGATCTAATGAGCCAGTGACGAGCGGAGCCCCTCACCTTGCCCCTCAGCTGTAGAAGTTGCGTCTGCGACGGGTTTTCGCCAGCTGACGCCAGGTGGCGCCGCATTCGCATCCTCCGCTCGAAGAGCTGCGCCTCCGACGGAGTTTGGTCCGACTGGCGGTAGGTAGCAGCACTGTCAGTTCACCGACAAACCCCATAGATGGCAGCACGGTACACGACCCGTCCCGTCTTCCCTACATCACGGAAGTGCATAGCAGCAAGGATTACGGCCACACGGTATAACAAAAATCCAGTCTACAGCAATAGGAAAGTCCTCGCAACATCTTCCAGGGCGTTCGTGCGCTCGGCGCGCGGTCTAAAGAATCAGGACCACCGCCACCAAAACACAACGTGTCGGGAATCCGTACTTGAAAGCTGCGACCCAGACAGCCGGCCGGACGACCCTTCTACCAACCTTATACTCGGAGAGAAGGTCGCCAAAGTCAAATTGCACGGGATCATTGAACAATTGCCGGGCGGCGTCCGAGTTGAACGCCTCCTCAATATCTCCCAGATCGTGGGAGGACAGATCTGGCAGATCTTCCGCCATGTGGTCCTCCAGCATAGTACACGACTGGAACAAAGATCAGGCAGGCAGGGGAGTGTCATTACAGGCGATGGCGGATGAAGGAATACTCAGGATGCGGTCAACGCCCTCTGACATGATAATGAGTCGGGGAAGTGCCATGTTCACAGGTGGTGGTGTGACAAACACAAGCGATTGCGCCGAAATTACGTCACGAAAGTGAGCCGTGAGCTGCATGGTGAATATAACGGTATATAACCGGCCAAACAGGCTCGGTCAAGGCGAGCATCTAGACTAGTGCCATGTTACAGCGAGTTTCGCGTTTCCGCCACTGCCCTCCGACAGCTGTAACAAAACGGCGCCTGGGACCTAAATAAAACTGCACCATCGCAACGGAAGCTAGTCTGAAATTGATTGACATGAAATCAAAACCAGTAGAAGAAGCTAGAACAGAAAAAGCAGCGCTAAAGCGCCGGAAACAAGTTAGTCCCAACCCGCTTCAATCGTTAAAAATCTGAAAGCTGATCGCATGGCAATAAGATCGTACTAATCCTCAAAAGTAGCGGCAACAGCGCAGCTACCTTCCCTTCCCCGTGTACCAAACACCCACCATAGTCTGCACGTTGGACGCAATGTCCGGCTCCACTTTGGGGCTGCGCTCTGGCGAGGCGCGGGCGGCGGGCTGCGGCGCCCTCGGCGCTGCACACCGGCCCTCCCCGCCCTGGTAGTCCAGCTGGGTGGTCAGCCACGACATGAGATCGTCCTCGCCACCGTGGGCGGGCACCACGCCGCCCAGCGGAGCGGCCGTGTTACTGCATACTGGCGACGGGAGAGGGGGGAGGGGGGTCAGAGAGTTTCCTCAAAGAGGATATTTGGGGAGTGGTACGATATAAGAATCGAATGCCGTTTTAATAGTCAATCTCTGATATCAGCTGCCCAGTGTCCAGTCTATCGCACAAATAATCCTTTGACAGTCTGGAAAAGATATGTGCTAGATGACGGTGATTATGTATGTCCACTGCCAACATTAGCCCTGATAGAGTGCATGCATATGTGCTTTAATATTGGTACAATAGAGTGGACACTGGACCACCAGTAAACCGAAAAAAGAAAACTTTTAATGCTGAGCATGGGTACTAATTTATCAGTGCCGAATATATTTGATTGCTAGAGGAAGGTGGCCACACATGTCGATTCGTTGCACGTCTGCAAACGAGATGAGTGACGCTGAACAGGGTGACGCTACATACCTTTGAACATGTTAGGTGACTTGATAATAATTTAATCTGGAACACAGAAGAGTCATGGATCGTCAAATACAGGCAATGGAAATGTCATATCGACACTTTTTTTTAAACCCCACATTTGTTCTCCGGTGAATTTCAGACAAGTTGGTTAGAGACCTTCAAAAAGGGTACAATCACTCGATTTTTCTCAAGTTTGTCTGTTTTGGCAGATAAAGCAATGCCAGAACAGGCCTACGAACACACATATTTGATCAGGATCGGACGATTGGACACTTTTAAAAGGAGATCTTTCGTGCCTCCCGGAAATTCACGGGAGAGCAGATGTGGGGTTAAAAAAAGGTGTCGATATATACCACTACTCATCTAATGCCTTACACAATACAAATTGCTTACGTTAATTGCGCTTATTGAGTAAGGTCCTTCAAAAACTGCATAAACGGTAAGATGCACGGTACTTATCTTTCTCTTCAACGTAACAGCGTAAAAAGCACATCTTAATACATACTAGGCTCAATGTTTCAATATTATGTCAGCAAAACAGCCTTCATTCCTTTACAAAATTATTCTAACTGGGTTCAGTTACTTCGTGAAAAGTAGAAAACATTAACTTTGTTGTTCTGTACGCGCCGCCAAAGGGCAGACATAGGAACTCAATCAATACCATGGGTGAGGTTTCTGCATACCAATTAAAGAAATTTATTGGACAACAACCGAAAGTACTATCAAGACGTTAAATTTTCAGTAAGGCTTTCTTCAGCACAATCACGAGTACAGAAAACGGAAGACATTTGAAGAAAAAAAAAATGTGGAATCGAGCTGGTGAGCATTTGCCAGTCGTCGCTTGAAAGATATATTTCAACGGAAAACATTTGTTCAAAATATAAAAAGAGCAGAGGCCAGTAACATTCGCGTAATATTTGCGCCTATGCCACATTGTATAATATTTATCTAAATACATATCTAACATTTTCATTGCCCGAAGTGAGAGACAGCCAGTGTCCTCTTACCTACATAGATAAGAAAAGATGATCAGTGTTCTTCTGAGCATTCTGGTACACCTGAAACACACGAAAAGCAGGGGTCAAATAGCATACCTGTACAGAGCGTGTGCCGTGGAAGACGAAGTTGGGAAAGAGAGAGGGAAGGAGGGAGGGAGGGGAGCGATGGGAGAGGGAGATGGAGAGAGGAGAGAGAGAGAGAGAGAGAGAGAGAGAGAGAGAGAGAGAGAGAGAGAGAGAGAGAGAGAGAGAGAGAGAGAGAGAGAGAGAGAGAGAGAGAGAGAGAGAGAGAGAGAGAGAGAGAGAGAGAGAATTATGCGGATTATGCAGCAAAACAAAATATTGTACAATCATATCTCTCATCAAAAAAAAAAAAAAATCTGCACATACAGATCATGCGCCAGGGTGGGCAACAGGAGTACAGAAAACATTACACGATTGTCACTCTTCAAACCCCCGCACCGCTGAAATGTTCCATTAAAATGAGACAAGAAAATAAACGAATTATTCAATTACTAAAATGAATGAGCGAGCTTAGAGCTATTAAACTAAAAGATGAATGAACGAATGAATGAAAGAATAAATGGAGGGATGAATGAGTGAGTGAATGAATGAATGAATGAATAAATGAATGAATAAATGAATGAATGAATGATTAGGTATGAATGTATGAATGAATGAGTGAATTAATGAATGGTGTATAATAGTGTGAATGAAATGAAGATTGAAGGTTGGTGGTGGCGTATGAAATATGAGCGAATATATTTAATGAATGAAGGAATGCATAAATGAATCATGCTCTAACAGATTCCGTGCGTTGCTACATGCAATGCAGTGAAATATGTGTTTTCATTCATGCGGGTTTCCGGTTTCCTACTGTCTTCCGGTATCCACTCGAATAGGCTTTAAAGTGACACAGGATTCATTTATCTGCACTTGTCGGAAAACCGATTACTTTACAATACAAACCTAACAGATTCATGTTATCTATGGTTTGACTTTTTCGGACACAAGCGGGGTTTTGGATGAAACATTGGCACACTCAAGAGTCATTTCATAACTGGTCTGATTGGTGATACTTTCCGTTAGGCATTGTGACCTGTTTATTAACTTCTTTGCTGATTTTAACGAATTTCACCTCGATTTTACATAGGGCTGAAGCAGGTCCTTAATTCACCTTTTTTATAAACGCAATCAACCTGTGGTATCATAACGTTCAGGCGTTGTCCAACTAACTAGAATATAAAAAACACATTGACAAGATAAAAAATACGCAGGGCATGCTGCAATCTGACATCGCCAATGGTTAAAAATAATGTATGTATAATTACGGAGCGAGCGAAGCGAGCGTAGTCTTTCCTTAGATTAACGGAAATTTCTGAGTATGAGCGGCCGGCCGGCCGGCCGTGGTCACGCTTTTGCGAGGCTTATATCTCAGCAACCACTTGACCGATTTACACGCGGTAATTTTTGTAGGGTAGCTTCATTCCTTCTACCAAGTATTGGACTATTCCCGATGCATGTGGGTGACCCCTTATGCACGTGCCACGTGCAAAACGAAGAGGTGTCAGTTTTGTAATTGTTGCAATATCTCGGTAACTACTTGGCCGATTGCGCTGAAAGTTGGCATGTAGGTAGGCACCCACTAGGCACTGCATATACATGTGCCAGAGTTGGGGTGCTGCTGCACGTGCGCACGTGCAGGGGTCGTTTCCAGATCTCGGGAACGGCTGGACCGATTGCGCTCAAATTTGGTACACGGTTAGGGACCGGTTAGTAGGGTGCCGTGCACAAGTCAGTTGGGACCCATTTTGCACGTGCGCACGTGCAGGGTGCCGCTTCCAGATCTCGAGAACGGCTGGGCCGATCCGATTGTGCCCAAATTTGGCACATCGCTAGAGACCAGTTAGTAGGGTGCCGTGCACAAGTCAGTTGGAGGTACCCCCTCGCAATTTTGCACGTGCAAGGCCCACCCTCTCGCTCGCTCCGTTAGTCGCCCCAAAAGGCGTTATACTGGTTTAATGACATCTATCTAGATGAAACATTACTTTTTGGCTTGGCTCTGGTACGAATTCCATACCCGAGCTCAGTATTTATTTTTCCCGGTCGTCATTTCCGATCGTCCCCGCCGACCCGCCCCTCCCCGTGCAGGTGGGCGTGGTTTCGCCCCGGTGGTGCAGTGCAGCGGCGCCCGGTGCAGGGGGCGGGGCCGGAGGGGCAGGGCAGGGGGAAGGGTCACGGGGTCGCCGTCAGCGGTGCCGGTCGCCGGGCGGCAGTGCGTACCGCCGCGGCCGCCGCCCCTCCCCGCCCGGCCGAGACGGCCCATCGACCAGTGACGTCACGACCCTAGTTGCCGCCGCTCTCCATAGATGGCGCTCGCCAACCACAACAAACGCTCAACAGGTGGGCGCGGCGCGGCGACGAGCGACGGAGCGTTCGTTCACCCACCGACGGCGCCGCCGCGGCCGACTCATCGGCCCATTGACAAGACTATCCGCATTGTCCTCACTGACTCTACGGGAACCGAACACAGCTGGTCAATGCTTCCCTTGCCCTCTTATCTCCGTCGCTCTGGCCTCTGATCCTCGCCGTTGCGTTGCTCGACCAACGGCGTTGATCCGAACATCCCCGCTGGCTGTCAGAGGTCTCCCTGGCAGATTGGCGTCAGTGACCCGTGCCAGCGAGCGCCGTCGGCGTTGGCTGGGTCGAGCGGCGGGGTCGGGGTCGGCCAGGCACCTCACCTGGTTCATGGCGGCCCGTTCATTGATCCGATTGCACTGAGCCAGGAACGGCGCGCGGCGCAGCCGAGCCGGTCTCAGGACGGGCTCTGCCACAGGACCACGGCGCCGTGGCAGTGGTGACACGACATGGAGACGGTGGGATATGCGACGCCCGACGCTGTGGTTTGTTGCTGTTCCATGAACCCAGCGCTGAGTCATGAGGCGGGCATACCGCCCAGCGGCGGCACTGAGACGGAGAAACGACCGGCACTAACCTTCTTCAGGATGTGCTTCACTGAGCCGATCGTCAATCACTCCCACCGGCAGCGCTTGCCGTACTTCCGCACAGGCGTGCAGCGGAATCGCTATCACGGCGGGTCGTCTGCCGTCCGGCCGAGCCGCAGCCGTGACCGGTGACTCACGGAGAGGTCTGACCTCGCCGTGACGTCACCGTAAAACCAGCACACGTCCCAATGCGGCATCCAGTTCTTACATCACGCTGTGCCCCGGCACCGGGCAGCGTCCGCCATGGGAGTCCGCGCCGCCGCCGCCGTCCGCCGTCCGCCCGTCACCGTGCGGAACCGGTTGGATCGTAGAGCTGCAGACATTCCGAAAACTCGGGTCCACTCCAGTTCCAGCCTTCCGCCATGGAAAGCTAAACCAGGTGTAGACTTCGTTCCAAGTCGCCAGGAAAAGTGTCCACACTACTACTTCCGCGTTGCTTGCCTTCATGAAAGATGCCGCTCACACACGCTCGCGGACGGAATAATTTAGGCCAGCGTTTAGGGTAGATGTGCCGGTCCACTCCAGCAGTAAAGCAGCAGCTCTAATCCAGCTGGGCCGACTCGCTATTTCTGCCGCTGCAGACCGGCACCGCCGCTCGGGACGCCATGAGGCGCGCTTTGGCGAGCTCGCGTGTTTCGCTCAAACGGTCCGCATCAGATGCTCGGCCGGGGCGTCCGTGGACACGACAGGCGGGTACCGCCGCGTCGCCGCCGCCGCCGACAAGTAAGCGGCCGGACCAGGGCGTGAAATTGGCAGCGTAAGAAATACGCGGAACAGTGAAGTAAGCAGTAGGGGAGAGCGGGGCGATTTGGCCGCCTTTTTGTAAAAGCGATATTTTGAGAAAACCAGTGCGCGTTTGGTCGATTTCTCCTTGGAGGAGTGTGGGGCGTTCAATTGTTGTTCCGGCCTGTTACTTGCATCATGCCGGGACACTTCGTTTCGGTAGTAATTAACCGTTCTTTCAAAGACTGCACGGCGGCCAAATGACCCCGGTACCGGGGTCATTTGGCCGGGGGAGTGGGGTCATTTGGCCGGGCATGTGATTCAGAGATATACCCATTACAGAGCTGAGGCAACCTGAAATATTGACGCCCCAGATTGTGTTTAACTCATGAATTCTGGATTGACTCGACGCATGACTGATGTGACGATTCAGATGCCCCAATGCTGACACAAATGATGAGCATCGTGACTCATCTTTGATTCGCCTGAAATCCTTAATTTTTCAAAAGACTAGGCTTACACTCGATTCATTTCAATCAGTGCAAGTGAGGAGCCACATTTGATTTACGAGCTTACGACTCATGAGTTAAGCACTGCCCAGTGATAACAACAGCCAACTGTAATGGCTGCCAAATCGTAGATTGCTATAGACGACAATCGCACTGCAAAAAAGTCCTTTGTGCACGAGTTGTTTGTTTATTTCAAACTCTGTCGTAAATACGAAATAAAAACGATTCTAGCAGGCCCCGTCTTCGACCCAGTACTTCAGATCACATCCACTGTAAAATACGGTCCCGACGACATGGACACATGTCCAGTCATCACTGCGCTTCACTGTTTTTCACCTTCGCGCCCCTGTTTCTTCGACGGTCCAGCTCCCGACGTTCGATGGTTCGACGGTCCAGCTTGTGGACCCCGCTTTTTGCTCCTCGCCATACGTGCTTGTTGCTCGTCCTCCAAAGCCGTCCGCTCCGGGCTGTTAGTCATGATTTTAGAACGCCCTTTCTTCCGAGTCGACCGGCTTTTCGAACGTTGATGCGCAGCTGCGGAAGTGGTCGGATGGACTCTGGGCTTCCGACAAGCAACTAAGACACGGCGGCTGGAGCACGGCCGCGGCAGGCAGCTGGAGCACGGCCGGCCCCGGGGCTGGCGGCTGGAGCACAGCCGCGAGCACGGCCGGGGCCGCGGCGTGCTGATCTGCCGTCGCTGGGGCGACGACCGGTGCGAAGACCGCCGTCGGCGCAGTCTTCGTCGTCGAAGATATCTCGGTATAGCGGGGATGTCCCGGACGCTTCGAATCCCTTAAGGATGTTCTTCCGCGTGAAGGTGGCG